ACTGGACACCGCTGGATCAAATCGTTGCACATTGAATCGAGTCAATAGGAGAGGTCTGACAAAATTTGGAAACTTTAAACGCTTACAACTCCATTTATACAAACTTTGAGGTCTTAAAAGTGGAATTTTCGGTAAAAAAGTATTGATCTCAAAGTGAAAATATTTTCCATCGATTTGTGTTTGATGCATACATAGGATTCTCCTTCTTTCAGGAATTTTCCTGATTTTCTTTTTTTTACCTCCTCATTTTAGGAATTTTAAGCAAAAAAAATTGGTAGAGACGATGGATCTTTAAAATTAAAATGATATGGTAATGGTCAAATTTTGGTCTTAGGCTTTTCTAACAGCGCGAGCCATAAATAAATCTGACGGCAGTGTGAAAGCGCGATTGCCAGTTCGAAGGTGAAAGTGACAGCAACCACCACTGTAACGACAAGAGGAGTCGAAGATTTTTCAGTGACCGCGGGGCGAAAAATGAATTTTTCATAACCGCTTATGAGAGCGCGTCGTCGCGGCAGTGAGCGACATTGGCGGGCGTCGCGACGCTGCATCCGTCGCCACCGTCGACGTCGGCGTCGTCGTCCTGATCGCGTCCTTCTTTCCGTCTTCCTTCCGCGTCGGAATCGACAGTGGATCACTTTCGGTCTCGATACTCGCCACGTCCATCGTCTCGACGCTCACATGTCGTCGCCCCTCTGACGTAAGGGCGTATCTCGATTTCCACGTGAGCCCTGTGCTCCATATAAAGCCATGCTCTCCGGGTCTCATTTAGACATTGAGATGCACCCTTACGTCAGAGGGGCGACGCACGGTGGATCGAGTCAATCAAAACTAGAAGTTTTGATGTCTATTTCGTCACATTTGAAATTTTAATGGGTATTTATAAAAGAAAACTTTACGAGAAAACCAACGAAACCATTTCCATATCCATTTTCTAAGGAATTATCGTGAAATATCAGCGACATTTTCGACAGCCATTTCAGTCATTTTCATGCGAAAGAATTAATTCCATAAGCACATTTTGCAACCTTGAAATAGAGGTACGTCTTTTTGCCAGGGAAACGATGATTTGTGGGATTACGAGGATGAAGGCAAATAAATTCCTATCACGACCGGCGCGGCGTCGCGTGTTGCTCCAACAAGAGGACGCAAACGTGAGCGTTTGAACGCCGGGCTTCTCAACGCACGGTGGATCGAGTCAATAGGAGAGGTCGGACAAAATTTGGAAACTTTAAAAGCTTTATAACTCCATTTATACAAAATTGTGAGGTTCTAAAAGTGGCTTTGGTTTCCTCGTGAAATTCTCTTCCTTAAGTATCTCTTAAAATGTAAAATGTGACGAAATAAAAATAAAAATTCGCAGTTTTTGTCAAACATTTTAAGTCCGACGTCTCTGATTGACTCGATCCACTGTGCGACACCCGCCCGCGTCACGCTGCTCTGCTGGGGAGTAGGAAGCGTCGACCGGTAAACGAGGATGACGACGAACGCACCTCACGTCCGACGCGACGCCAAGACGTATGCTTTCACCGCAAGGTGGCCGCTGCCTTCCCAACGCGGTAGATACACGTCACGCAGAGCGGCTGTTACCATATTTGCTCGGACCACATAAGTGAGCGTTTTAGCCAAAGAAATGGGAAAATACCGCAAAAAATAAAGCGCTAACGGTAGGCACCATGGAGCGTCATGAGAGCATATGGGGCACCCCCCCCCCATTAGCAAAAAGGGTCATCTTCAAAAATATTCCAGTTTAATTACCCAATGGCTTCTAAGGGGGCCTGACGCCCGGCCTGGCGGATCTCTACCACGTTTAAAAGTTACGGGCTCAGAGGTCGAAAGTGCCGGGTGCTGGAGCAGTAGTTCAGACTGCTTCGGGTGCTACACCCGGAACTTTCGGCTTCTGAGCATGTATCTATATAGCCCGTAGGTACGGCTTCCACGGCCGGAATTTCTTTTTCAGTGCAAAAACCTGGCTGCGTGACTGCGGACTGATTATTGAAATTGGTGGACGAAGCTATGGACAAAGAAAACATAGGGCGTATGGAGCGATCCTATTGGTTGAAATGAGTGGTTCCTATAGACAAAGGGAGAAAATGATAGACTAACTGTCGGGTCTCTCGTGGGTTGCCGTTAGTTAGTCTATTACCTACGCCCTTTGTTCATTGCAACCACCCGCTTCCACCAATGGGAATACTCCCTATGTCTCCTTCGTCTAATAGCTTTGTCTATCAATTTCAATAATCGGCCCGCAGGGTAACGGTTGACTTGTTGACAGTAACTGAGTAAGAGTTTTCAGTGGTGAAAATGAGTCCACGGGTCGAATATTGAAATTTTATTTCACAACGAAGAAAAATTGAAGTATCATATATTCAAGTATGGGATATTTCACTAAAGTTGACGTCAGTCAAACGAAAATTTGAGAATTTTAGGTCCTCAGTCTTAACGTTGCACAGATGCAAATACACAAGGGAGTACGATAAATAATGTGCTATAATACGGCACCGCCAAAGGGGAAAAAGGCAGGGAGAGAGTTGAAAAATTTAATTAGAACAGAAGGAAGTAGTTAAATCTACGTAGAGGGCGTTAGAAAAATAAAGAGAGCAATAGATAAATAGAGATGAAGATAGGATGAATGATTAATATCACCGAGCAAAAAAGTAGTTTTCTCAGATGTGCAGAATCATTCCATGTAGTTCACAAGTTGAATGCTGTTCAATATAGGTCACACTTACTCAACGCGTTGACATAATTTTTTCTCTACATTTTTTTCCGGTGCAGTTGCATCGGCGAACGCGATGTGCAGCGCTCGAATCCGAATGTTAAATTGTTGAGTCGCATCTTGATGCAGGTCATTGGTCGCCGAACTGTGTCCGAGTTTTCACGTCGGCCGATTCTCTGCCAGTTCGCCGCCAAAAAAGAAGAAAAACTATGGAGATTTCGAGGGGTTTCCCGGAAAATGTTGCGACACCTGAGTCTACTGACGTGAGAGCAAAAGCGCAGACATTTTTGAAATTGAGTTTCTTTCAAAATTTGTTTGTTTGACCGACTAATTTAGCTGAAATAGCCAATCGTACTACTAAAAAACCAGCTACTCAGCTGATAGGTTTCTTGGTTGCGGTGTCTTAGAATCTCCGCTAACGTTTCATCCATCATAATAAAAGCGAACTGTATGGAATTCGTCAAAACTTTTACTGAATTTTCTTCATGATTTTACCATGCTGAAAACGAAAAATTTTAGAAAATTCGCTGAATAGTTTCCTCTCAAAAATATAAATTAGCAGTGACGATTTTGAGACACAGCAACCAAGAAATGTCTTTCCTAGAACCCAACGCCTCATTTTCTGGAGCGCAGAACGTAATAATGTAAAAGATGTTCACTGGGGGAAAAAAACACATTGGATCTAGAGTCCAGACTCTTGAAAACATTGACGAGAAAAAATACTCTTGATTCAATCAGATTTAAGCTTAAATCAAAAGCAAATCCGCTCAAATTCAGAGTCTTGGTTCTTGATTTAAACTTAAATCTGATTGAGTCAAGAGTATTTTTTCTTGTCGATGTTTTTAAGAGTCTGGACTCTAGATCCAATGTGTTTTTTTTTTTCCCCAGTGTTCGATATTCGACCTCATCGCACCTTAATTACACCTTAATAATCGCGTCTCAGGGTATGTAGGACCACGTTTTAATTCCACCGATTTTTCGAAACGGTTTAGCTCTACAGCCGGCAATGGCGCGTCTCCGAGTTCATCGGATCTATTCAGAGTTCACACTTTACTCGTCAACTCGGAATCCGACTCATTTCGGGCACGACCGCCAAGCGCCGACCTCGTCGCCACTTCTCGCGGAATAATCCCCGAATTCCTTTTGAAAACCCGACGAGAGTTGCCAAATTTGGCAACGGTGCTTCAACGCCGTCCGTACCGTAACTCCATAAGCCGGCGTGCTGTCTCCGTCCCGCGACCGTAGCGCTGTTTTACTTTCACTGATCCGTGCAGATGCACTCGGTGCGCGCTCTTTACAGCTCCACCCCCGCCTTGCCCCTTCCTTCCGGCCGACAGTGTTGCCAAACGCTCGTCAATTTTAATTTATTTTTTCTAAACGTATTAAATAGACCCGCTGCACAAACTGCATTTCTACTGCACTGCCGTGCTGAGGAAAAACGCCGTATGAGCCTTCAGACGTTGCCAAATTTCCTTTGACTAATTATGAATTTTCGGGATATTTTACAAATATTTTCCGTCCAGTTTCATAGATGATTTTGTAACTAATTTTATCTTAAGTATTAGAAAATTTCTAGGAAAAATATTAGAAAATTTCCTCAAATATGCATTTTTCCGAGAGGAAATTTGGCAACTCTCGGATGTTCATACAGCAGTCTTCCTTAGGACGGCATACGATATTGTAACTTCGACTAGAAACTGTGCGAATACGTAAGATCTGGAATCTTGTATGGGCATTGTAAGAGCGACAATATTATTTTCCTTGTTTAAAAGGATCAGACACGGACACAGTATTTCAACCCAGCATTGATTGTTTCTAATATTGCGAAAAATGTCCGTGGAATCGCCGTTATTTTTGTACTTACAGGACTAATAAATTTACTGAGGCAATTTATTGATAAAATTATTGGCAATTATTTATTATTATTGCCGTCAAACAATTCATTTGACCAACGAGACACAAATGAACAAACTTCTCAGCACTTTGTCCAACATGTTAAGTAACTCATCTGTCACTACAGCGAAGCGATTAACTCATCTGTCACTACAGCGCAGCGATCCCGATGAGAATATTAAACCACGAACGATCGAATTCTCTGAAAGCTCCTTCATTCCGTCGTATATGCAATTTGATCTCCGGAGAGTTTGAATAGTTGCTCAGAGCCGTAGATAGCTTTTGTTGAAGGCGCTCGTCAACTGAGTACCTGATGATTTTTTGTGCGTACTCTTGAGAAATGGATGACTTTTTTTTTAATTTTTAATTTTGTTTGGATCTTTTTCAGGCGGCCATTATCAAATCGGGTTTCCTCTCGAAAAAACTTTCATGTGGCGGAGCTCTCTTGAACAGTCGATGGGTTGTCACCGCTGCGCATTGTGTTGCCACGTAAGTTCAACAAGTTTTTTGTTTTGTTTCTATTTTCTTTGTACCATGATTAAAGTACGATAATTTAAATTTGGACGGTGTCACTTACAGACGCACACACTAAGTATGCACGAGAGCACGTGATCTCAGTACATTTTGTTTCATTTTTTCAGCAGAGTCTGTCAAAAAAAGACCTTTTTGGAAACACAGGGACTCCGTTTCAATCCATCACAAACAAAACCTGATGACATGATGACATGAAACGTGATGAGCTAATCCTCTTTTTAAAGTTATAGCTTAAGTTCAATGCGAATTTTGACAATACAGCGTTTCAATGTTTTCATTTTTTACCATTAAAAGCATTACACCGAAAAAAAAGGATGCTGATTTAACATTCTAGATGTAAAAAAGTGTGTGACAACACTCACGAAACGCTAAATTAACCGCCGCACCACATCTGTTAGTTTTACTCTTGACATTGCTATAGTAACTGCTGTGACGGGTAATTCAGATTTTTGTGAGTTGTATTCGTATCGGCATCGGCACGCCGCACATACAGCCTCATGGATTAAAGTGACCTGAGCGCCCTCCATTTTTTATACGCAACACGCGCGTCCATAGAGTGCGAATAGCTGTATCAAGTCGTTATTATAAACATGATTGAATTGCGTTGACTTAGATATTAGCATTAAGTTGATAGCATTAAGTCGCACTGTTTGGTGCAATGCGTGAGGTATTCTCATAGTCTTGCAGGCGCTGATCTACGTTCAACGCCGGCTGCACGCTGCACCGTTCGGCGCGATTATTCGAACTCCCGTTACATTAATCGCGGCATCGCCTTAGATGATATTGACTTTAGATATGGGAAGCCCCGCCACGTCTTCCTCTACCGAATGGCGTTGGAAAAATGTTAGAATGAAAGAATGAAAGAATTAACCCATTTAAAAATACTAAAATTTTAAAGTTGTTTGGTTAAGAGCCTAACTCGTCAGAAAATCAACGTTTCCACCCAAAACTTAATTCGAATACTGAACTAGTAATCGCCTATTTCACAAGTATGATGTTCCATCACATGCTGGATGTTTTGAAACCAGTTTATCATCAAAACTATTAGAGGCAGAGGGAAAGTGTAAAATTTGCTTCAAATTATTTGCCGATTTTTTAAAATTATTCTGGAAGGTAAAATGAAAATACCAAACACACAATTTTCTCCGCAGAAAAGAGGCTGAGTTGGGTTAGTATCATAATTAAGTACAGACTGAAATACATGATTTATCAGTTTCAAATCGATTTTAATAGTCTTTTCTATATTTTACCGTAGATCTCGACGAAGAAGTATAAAAAGTGATATTGTAATTCTTTTCTAGTCAAGTGGCTCATTGAAACTTACTACACCAATATTATTCAGTCGTATTTCATGCGCTCGTTAAAGAGTATCGCAATACGGAGAAAACCCGTAAGTTGCCACTTGATCGTGTCTAATAATACAAAAAAGACTCGAGAGAAAGAAATGATCGCAAAGAAGATCCATGGTACGAGGAGAAAGGTATGATTGCAAAATTGCACATGTGTGCAAGCTGTTTTTACACAAACCATAATCGAGATACGACGTGTTGTCATATTCGCCTTCTCTATGATTGGCTATATTTGTGGGACTATTTAACCACGTCATTCAAATATGATGGCATTTATCATAAATCTCAGTCTGGAGGTGACGTTTCCTGGCATCAAACTCTGAGAAGCTTTTGCGTGTCTGCTTCAAGGTCGTTTGAGTAAAATTACCTTTCTCCTTATATCATTGGGGAACCCAAGTCCCATCCGTTGCTCAAGAAAATTACACGACAACATCCGCTTATTGAAGAAAGGTGAAAGATGGGCAGCTCAGATTCTACGCGGGTCTGTTTAAGGGAACTTGATGACGAAATGTGGTCATGATCTGAACGTCAATGATCGACGCATCAGGTGTGAAACTGGTTTCGTTGTGTCATTTTATTTGTCATCACATCGTCCGGTCTTTGCCCGCACTTCTGCCCATCAGGTGTTGTCGGACTTGTTTGCAATCACCAAAACTGGCAATCGATGAGATGGTGGTTCGCTTTGGGTTCTGAGTGTGGTCGAACTGTCATGCGATGAATCACGTAGGTTATGTCAAATGCTTAGCAGATTTTGACTTTGTAGCAATAAAAAGAAGAACAACGACAGCTCCCCTGCGCATGATTCTCACGTATTATTTCCAGTGAAAAATTGCAAAATTTGGTGATTGAAATCTAGCCATGAACAAATAAGAATTGAATTCGATACCGCAATCGATCGATTTTTTTGTACAAGTTGTAATAATACACTTGTATACCACGTATATAAATATTTGAAAAAAAGTAAACTTTTTGTGTAGTGCTTTCAGTTCCCTCTCCCTCCATTCATCGAGCAATTTATAAGTTTTTTTGAGGATACAAGTGCACATTTTTGTTTTATAAACTCTTAGACATTTTTTGAACTTATATAAGCAAGGCGAAAAGACGGCAACAGACACAAGTTGCTGATCATATTCGATCAAAGCCAAGGTGACGTTACGCCTGCATTATGCCGCTTGCTAAGGAAAGACGGCGTATGGACTTTCAGTTGCCAAATTTCCTTCAATAAAACACAAATTTTTTGGTAAACCTATGAATATTTTCCTTCCAATTTTTCAGATAATTTTGTTTGCGATTTTTCCGAAAGTTCTTGAATGTTCAGAAAAAATATTCATAACTTCCCACGAAAATAAACATTTTATCGAAGGATATGCGGCAACTCTCAAATGTTCATACGGCGTCCTACCTTTGAACGGCAGTTCATGCAGAGTATTTTACTGCATAGGAAAGAATGGCATTTAGAGCACATATCCTTCCTGAAGTTATGTTATGATGGAATGATCACCAACTTGTGTCTACATAGAAACGTAATTTAAAAAATATTACATTTTGAATTGTTCAGAACATCCCTTCCATAACATACCAACATTTTGAAAGTTTATGTAAATATTCAATATGTGCAAATTAAAAGCGTTTAAAATTATCCTTTAATGGTTTCAGGACAGCAAACAGTAATCTGAAGGTGCGGCTGGGAGAATGGGACGTCCGAGATCAGGCGGAAAGGTTTACCCACGAAGAATACGCCGTCGAAAGAAAAGAGGTAACAATTTGCAATTGAAGTATTGGACTCAGGTATTTAAATAGTGAATTAGATTTGAGAAAAAAAAAAAAAAACCTCACTATCCCATACCTAACATCCAATGGGTCAGTTGCGCTGTTCACAGAATTGTGTTTGCTGCTTGATTCTTGTAGAACAGCTAAAAATAATAAGATCTGGCCCAACAGCAACTTTGTACGTTCAATGTCGACGAAGATATATGTATCGCCCCTTGAAAAGTCGAGTTTTTGACGGCATCCACCGCAGTAGTAACACCCTTGGTTTCTTCCACCTTGCTTTCATTAGTCGGCGTAACGCACATTTGCACCGGTTACTCAACGTGAATGTCGGATGAATGCAATGTGGAAGAAACCAAAGGTGTCTTTACCGCGGTGGATGACGTAAAAAAACCGACTTTTCAAACGGCGATATCTCTTTCAATATTGAGCGTAGAAAGTTTATGTTTGGACAATCTTATAACTTTCAGCTGATATACAAGAATCAAACATCAAAATACGATTTTGTGACCAGCGCAACTGATCCATTCTCGAGAAAAGCAATGACGCGAGACTAAATTTTCACCTGGGTAATCAGACGGCGTCGAGTGTCGAATGAAATGTCACCCGCGAAAGGGACAACCCAACCCAAAGAACATCCTCGGCGACGCCGTGCTGAGGAAAAACGCCGTATGAACCTTCAGGCATTGCAAAATTTCCTTTGATAAAACACGAATTTCCTGGTGAACTTGTGAATATTTTTCTTCCAATTTTTAGAATAATTTTGTTCGCAATGTCACCTAAAAATTCTGAAAATTTAGAGGAAAAATATTCATAACTTTCCTGAAAAATGAACATTTTATCGAAGGAAATTTGGTAACTCTCGAACGTTCATACGGCGTTCTTCCTTAGCATGGCGGTACTAGTACCCCTACACGAAGAAAAAAACCTCGAGCGTGGGACCCGAAGTTTAGGTCATATGGATCTCTGAAGTTTTCAGATTGAGCATCTGAACACTTAAGGTCTAGCTGTCGAGGTTCGGATCACACATCTGAAACTTCAGTTCTTACATCTGAAGTACTTCAGATGTAAGAACCGAAGTTTTTCGGATGTGAGAACCGAAGTTTTTCGGATGTAAAAACCGAAGTACTTCAGATGTAAGAACTGAAGTTTCAGATGTGTGATCTAAACCTCAGCAGCTGGACCTAAAGTGTTCAAATGCTCAATCCGGAAACTTCAGAGATCCATATGACCTAAACTTCGGGTCCCACGCACGAAGTTTTTTTCTCCGTGTAAGCTTCTCACAAAAATCTCAAGAAAGAAGCAATGACGCAAGACTAAATTTTCACCTGGGTATAATCAGACGACGTCGAGTGAAATGTCACCCGCTATAGGAACAACCCAACCCATAGAGCGTCCTCCCGATTGTCAATCGAAAGCACGTTTGACACCTCGTGCAAATCCAGACGGCGCTAATTCGCGAGTATTACGTCTTCGGCGACGGCTATGCCGATCCAGAATGAAAGGGCCTCGTGTTCTCCGATCCCGGCGCCCAGTCAAAGGCCTCAATTTGCGGTTCAATTGTTGGCATTTCTCATTACGGTGCCGTACTCGGGCGGCCGCTCGGCACTTGCCACTTTCTATGCTCTAACTCGGACTTTCGCTTTTTATTGTGAACGTATGTAAATGATCCCTCGGTTCAATTGTAATTTGGCTCGCCGGAGACGCTTTCCAACTGGAATTCGACCGCGCTATGTAACCGACCCTCCGCTTGCGCCTCCTCGTCTCGCTTCGTGATCGTGCGTCCACACGGGATTACGGCGCTGCGTGTCAACGATCAGTGTCAATGACGCGTCGGTCACGACGCGACGCGACGTCGCGTCGTGGTGACAAATTTTGACGCATCTCACTAAACTAAGCTGCCGTGCTGAGGAAAAACGCCGTAAGAACATTCGGGAGCTGCCAAATTTCCTTTGATAAAACACGTATTTTTGACGACATTCGTGCATATATATCTTTGAAATTCTCAGATATATTAGATTGAGTTGCGTACAAAATTGTCTGAAAATGTTGGAAATTAATATTCACAATTTGTCCAGTAAATTCGGGTTTTATCCGAGGAGACTTGGCAACGTCTGAAGGCTAAGGAAGAACGCCGTATGAGCCTTCAGACGTTGCCAGGTTTCCTTCGATAAAAACTGAATTTATTAGGAAAATTGTTAATTTCCCCCCAAAATTTTCACACATTATTGCACGCAATTTGATCTAAAATATCTGAAAATTTCAAGGAAAAATATACATGAATGTCGTCAAAAATACATGTTTTATCGAGGAAAATTTAGCAACTCTCGAATGTTCATACGGCGTTCTTCCTTAATGCGACAGTATCGGCCAAACACTAAATTCGAGGTCGTTCCTCAAACAGCTCCATTCCTCAGGGAGGTCCCATGTAATGCACAGTGTGTTTAGGGAGATTTAACGGTGTCTTTGACGGAACATATCGTAAAAAGCACAATTTTCATGAAACTTAGGTGAATTTCATCAGTATGACTTTAAAAATAATTCTTTATGGGGCATTACGCTGATTTGCCACCGCAAAAAATACAAGATGCGAAAAAAAATGTACTGCAGATTCTAAGGTAGGCCTTCCCTGCCTTTACAATAAATTGTTTCAAAATCATGAAATCTTTTTTTTATACTCCACTAGGAACCTACGCGCCCTATCTATTACGGTAACCAACCCTTAGAAGGCGCTTCGTGTGGGCCCCCCAGAGACGGCTTATCAAACTGGTATTCGCATGAATCATGAAATCGGCCTAGTACAACAATATAGCAAACTGTCAAAACAACAAATGAAAATTTTGGGGATCAGAGAGCTTATGTTAACGATACTTTTAGCAGTGGCAAATCGTCGTAGTCCCTTGGGAGGTTCAATTTTTGAAGTCAAACTGATAAAATTTACTCGTGTTCCGTAATGTTCGGTAAAATATATCTGTCGCGGGCAACCAGTCAAATTAGGCATTTTATGAAATGCCTGGGCAAATGTTCTTACTCAGATTGAAGTTCTTACCCTTTTGCAATTTTGAACAATATAATTCAGTTCTGTTGTAAGAAAGAAATCTTTATGAAAATTCACATCATATAATAGTACTTTAAACAGTTTTTAGTTCCTGAACGAGCGGATATGTCAAAATTTACAGCGTGTCATAAAACACGGAATTGCCGCAATCACACGCTGGATTTAGCAGCTGAATGTGGAAGTCAACAGTCATCGCCCAACGGCTGAAACTTAGCAAATTCGAGTTATTTTCATCCAGATGTGTATCAAATCTACTCGAATAGTTCAAACAAATTCAAAATTGGTCCGGTGGTCGCTGAGAATCGTTGCTGAATTTTGCGCGTCACGCGCAAAATTCAGGCATCGGGCCGATGACTTCCACATTCAAGCCACATTCAGCTCCCATATTCAGCGTGTGATTGCGGCAAATTTTTAAAATTTTAACATTTAAGTGTATGAAAAGCTTTCGAAAAGGAAGTGACAACGAGAGCTCGCAGATTTGATGAGTCATTTTTTTCAAAATATTGGAAACTTGGGAGTTTTTCGTCATAAAACAACTCTTCATAAACTGTCAAAATTTGAATATTAGCCTAGGCATTTGATAAAATGCCTGATTTGAAAAATTGCCTGCGACATACCAATGGGAGAATTTTAAATGATGTCACCACTGTTTTGTCACCACCAGTAAACACATCGAAGATGGTGGTGTAGAGACAGGAGCTACGTAACGAGCGTCCGTCGCCTGCATTTCAATAACATCGTTTAGAAGATTGTTGCGTGAATCGATCAGAGAAAGTCCTCGTGTGAGTTACTAGTCGCTGCAACCGCGCTTGAGGGAAGTTAGGGTTCGAAAAGGGAACTTTCTATTATTACTCAATAATTAATCAGTTCTGCATAAATCAGATATGCTCAGATTTTTAATGCGCGCACGCACTCCCCCTCCCTCCCCTCTTATGTATACGTCACGTGTATTGATGCGTATTTACGCTAATCAGCCTTGCGTTGCGGACGCCTCTGCGTAATCCAAGTATTTCCCATTACTCGATGAGGCATCGATCATGGAGAAATGCGTGGAGGAGTGACTTGACAGTTTGCACAAAACATGAACAACGCTGGAAAAAAAACACATTGGATCTAGAGAGTCCAGACTCTTGAAAACATTGACAAGAAAAAAGACTCTTGATTCAATCCGATTTTTGCTTAAATCAAAAGGAAATCCGCTCAAATTAAGCGGCTTGGTTCTTGATTTAAGCAAAAATCCGATTTAATCAAGAGCATTTTCTCTTGTCGATATTTTTAAGAGTCTGGACTCTAGATCCAATGTGTTTTTTTTCAAGTGAATATGTGAAAAAAATATATATCTCTGTACATTTTTGAAAATCGGGATTTTCGTTTGGTTAAGTGCATTCTCCCTTTCATTCTTTTTAATTCAGTCAGTTCACTTAATTTTCTTTATTCAATATAATTAACAAGTTCCATCAACAAGTTTAATCAAAATTGGGTAATCTAAAAAATCCATGATATCGAAGTGCTGAACCACGTAGCTCTTTTTGCGACGTTGCAGACTTTCCATCATACTTCAATTTTTCTTTCGAAAACTAGTTAACATAATTTTTTGGAAATTTCCTTGAATTTTCCTCTCTGTCGGTAGAATATTCTGTTTAAACTTCAAGCCGTAAAATTAGCTTGTTCCTCCTAGAAAAAATAAAATAGGAACGGAATCTTTGAAACACCTTGATACAGATACGTGGTTTCGTACTTTGACCATCAATATAAGCGAGGTCTTCACGAATGTGGTCTAAGACTTACATTTTTGTGACAAATAATTCCTGAACAAGGTGGTAATTCTGCTAATAAAGGATATATCTTTGCACGGAAAATTCGACTGAGACTGTCTCAGACTGATATGATATATATAAATATCATCTTTGAAATTTTATTTAGATACATTTTTTTTATATGAGCAGCTCAAATGGACCTCGCTAAGCAGATAGGAATCCAGCCACATCAGCTAATGCCAATTTTTACTGGGTAATTTAATTTTTTACATGAAAACGGTTGTGGGACTTTTGGTGCAAATTTCAAATAATTTCCTGCATAGTACGAAGCGAATTCCTGAAAATTGTCAAAGGAATTCGCACAAACGTTCTCTTGTAAAAAGTTACATTTTCCAGTTAAATTTGTCAAAACCTAATCTAGCTTGGTCCCTTTCTGCTGAACGCGGTCCGCAAATAAGCTTCTAGGATATCTCAATTTTCAAAATTTTTCGGAAGAGGCCCTCAGACCTTGAGAAACACCCCACAACTTCCCTCTGTGTGCTGTCTTTTTGAACCTACTCTAGCAAAATTCCTACCTACGCCGATGCTTTACTATTGCACCGACCCAACTTTCTGTACCAAATTTGTCCATTGGGCTAATTCTAGAAATTGATAGACAAAACTACAAACAAAGAAGACAAAAGGGATATGGAGGGATCCTGTTGGTGGAAGCGATGAGGTGGTTGCAATGGTCAAAGGAAGTAGGTAATACACGTAGACTAACGAACGGCAACCCACGAGAGACACTATAATGAGTCCATCATTTACCCCTGTAGTCTATAAGAACCACAAACAACCGATATGATAGTCCATACTCCATATTATGTCTTCTTTGTCTATCGCTTCGTCTCTCAATTTCAACAATCAGCTCGTATATACTTAGAAGCTCAAAACCATTCTGCCGGGCTCAGGAAAAGCGCCGTATGAGCATTCAAATGTTGCCAAATTTCCTTTCAGAAAATATCTATTTTAGAAGGAAGTCATGAATATTTTTCCTTGAAATTTTCAGACTATTCAGATAAAATTTCTAACAAAATCCTCCGAAAAATCCGAGGAGAGCTATTCACAAAGATTCCTTCAAATGGAGATGTTGCATGTGTGAGGAATGTGCAATATGACTATTGGTTCTTATGTAAAAGTTCGCGAGAAACACGGTGGTGCCACTGGTTTTCTCTGAAATCAACTCCCAAGCTCAAAAAAAGCTCTCAAATTGAGGCCAAAATGGAGGGGATATCCCACGTTACCCTGAGAGTCCACCTCTACATCAAAACGAACTCTCCATGCAAAGATAGGGAGCAAATACATTGACAGGGCTGCCACTTTATTTGGGGACTCTAAAACGGAAAACACGGCAACCCTGCTAATGTATTTGCTCCCTATCTTTGCATGGAGATTTCGTCTTGATGTATAGAGGTGGACTCTCAAGATAGTGTAGGATATCCCCTCCATTTTGGCCTCAACTTGAGTTTTTTTTTGAGCTTAGGAGTTGATTTCAGAAAAAACCAGTAGCACCATCGTGTTTCTCGCGAACTTTTACATAAGAATCCACGGTCAAATCGCAAATTCCTCACACATGCAACATCTCCATTTTCAGACTATTCAGATAAAATTTCTGACGAAATCCTCCGGAAAATCCGAAGAGAACTACTCACAAATTTTCCCGCAAATTCGTCGTTTTTCGGAGGAAATTTGGCAGCGCCTGAAAGTTCTTACGACGTTCTTCCCTAGCACAGGAGCTTTGCTCTCTTTACCTCGGAGCGAGGGAGTTGGTCCGGGGCCTCGAGCCGGGGACACGACTCCCACCGGTCCGGAGTTGGGCGCTGAAAATTGGAGCTGATGATGGATGGGTTGATTTTTGACAGGTTCACCCGCAGTACAGCCCGACGGACTTTCGAAACGATGTGGCGCTGGTGAAAGTGGACAAGGACGTCAGTTTTAAGCAGCACATCATACCCGTCTGTTTGCCCGACACCGCGGCGAAGCTTTCAGGCAAAATGGCCACCGTCGCCGGCTGGGGCAGGACGCGACACGGTAGGCCGACCAGCCACTTCCTCCTTCTTTCAGTATCGCCGCACCACGCACTTTCCTTGAGCCATCGCCAGCGTGGAAATCCGAGTACATGCCTCGATGAAAGAGTCGTCGGCCTAAAATGGAGTTAGAGTCCACTGGAAAAATAAATACATTTGATCTAGAGTCCAGACTCTTAAAAACATCGACAAGAAAAACTACTCTTGATTCAATCAGATTTAAGCTTAAATCAAGAACCAAGCCTCTTAATTTGAGCGGATTTCCTTTTGATTTAAGCTTAAATCTGATTGAATCAAGAGTCCTTTTTCTTGCCAATGTTTTCAAGAGTTTGGACTCTAGATACAATGTGTTTTTTCTTGCAGTGCTCAATGAAAGAGTCGTCGGCCTAAAATGGAGTAGAGTCCCTTTACACTGAAAGTTAAGACAATATGAATCCATTTCTGATTGGCTCCCGTATTTTAGGCCTCCACAAGTCCACAGTGTCACAAACGGGAATAAATATTACATTTTTTACCGATTGGAAAGATTATAATCTAGAATGGACCAGGGAATAACGGGTTCGGCAAAGAACAAACAGAATGAGAGAAGGAACGGGGAAAGAAATTTGAGAATGAGCCGATCAAAATTTACAAAAAACTATCTATTTGTGTGATCTAGCTGTTTACCCAATTTTGACTCCATGAAGGGAGAGGGGGATTGTCTTAACCCTCAGTATGAAGGGACTCTAATCCGACTTCATGCCTCAGTGCAAGCGTCGTCGGCCTAAAATAGAGTACCTGGAATAGAGTACCCCAAAATAGACACTGTTTTTGACCTGAAATATAATTTCGGTGAGAGGAATTGCTTCCTGCAAATTTTAACAACTCTAACACTCTCAACCATCCCGGAAATTTGGAAAAAACCAATATTTTCATAAACTTCGGGTGGTCTTGGCTTCGAAGTATTCATCTTGAGGATCGACTGTCATGGAAAAAAGGCTGATTTTATTCAAATCATGTAGATAGATACAAGGCATATTTTTGTAGTAGTTACGATTTCCTTGAATAAAATTTCTTCAAAAAAAAAAATAAAATAAAACAAAATAAAAATTAAGCTGAGGGGTTACCCCCTGAAAATTTGCTGATTAAACCTAGGTACTTGGGAGCCATGTAGCTCAACATTTTTACTTCTAGGCACATAGCATGCACAGCAACTAACCAACATTGCAACGTACCAAAACTAAAGAACATAGGAGAAGTAACGGGAAACAAGGCTAAAAAAATACACATAAAAATCCGAGACATTTTCAGTCGAAAGAATAAATATAAAATATAAAAATTCCAAAGCTCTTTGTTTTGATTTCTCGGCGATCATATAGTCTGCAGGTTTCTATTTAGAAATTTTATGTTTTATTTCTATTCTTGCGACTGAAAATGGCTCAGTTTTGAGCCTAAACGGCTCGAGTTTTTATGTGTACTTTTTTAGCCTTGACTCGCGTTTTTTTCTTCTGTGTTTTTTGATATCACCATGAGTGTCACGGGCTGCTGCTTTAGAAATTTAACCTACCAAAACTAATGGATGTGCTTAATTTTAGGAGTATCGACAGTGCCAACCGTACTTCAGGAAGTGGAGGTGGAGGTGATACCCAACGATCGATGTCAACGGTGGTTCCGATCAGCCGGCCGAAGAGAGACAATCCACGACGTTTTCCTCTGCGCCGGTTACAAAGAAGGCGGCAGAGACAGTTGTCAGGTGAGTTCATACCACGTTCAAATACGAGAGCAGAAATGCTGGACTTAGGAACGCCTTCATTTTTGAGTGATACCACACGGCCTACAAACACGGACTTGTCTTGTGATCAGTATGTGTTGAAGCTTTCTTCGCTTGTTTTTGGAGAATTATTTTCGTGATTTCGAGAGTAATAATTTCAATCTTCACTGGAAAAAAACACATTGGATCTAGAATCCAGACTCTTGAAAACATTGTCAAGAAAAAGGACTCTTGATTCAATCAGATTTAAGCTAGCAGAAATCCGCTCAAATTAGGAGGCTTAGTTCTTGATTTAAGCTTAAATCTGATTGAATCAAGAGTATATTTTCTTTTCGATGTTTTTAAGAGTCTGGACTCTAGATCCAATGTGTTTTTTTTCCAGTGTCGTAACCTCGTTTTGCCTGGTAAAGTCATTAAATTTGCAAAAAGGAACCAAGTCGAGTATTCCAGTGTCGTTAAGATTGTGCAACTTTTTTACCTTCCAAGTATAAACTGAGCATCTAAACAAGGTTTATCTTTACCCTGAATAAACGATGAATTCAAGACGAAAATTACCATCGTAAATTTGACTCTTTACATTATTTCAGTAACTTTATCGCAAAGAATGTAATTTGCACCCCTAGCAACATTAAAATGATCTTGGTTCCTTTTCAACAAGTAGGATTTCATACAATAATAAAAAAGCTGTCTCATACTAATTTTCCATAGGAATCAGTACCTAATCTGAATAATTTTTCAAAAACAAAAAAACAAAAAAAAAAAACAAAAAAAAATGAGACAGTAACCCTGTGAGGCTTGGAAAAAAAGATTCCATTTGAATTGCAAAAATTGGTCTCTCTTCGTTCTTAATCATCGGGAAAATCAAAAATTATTTTTTTGTGTCTGCTGCCTCCAGGGGGATTCTGGTGGACCTCTGACAACTACGATGGACGGAAGGAAGACTTTGATCGGTCTGGTATCGTGGGGAATCGGATGCGGTAGAGAACACTTACCAGGAGTTTACACCAACATTCAGAAGTTTGTGCCATGGATAGATAAAGTGATGGTCAACCATCAGACTCATGATTAGCTTCAATATTTCCTTGCAGGAAAACCAGAGGGGAACATCGTGGGGTAGAAAATTAAAGTAGACTGAACAAAGTTGAGGAACTAAAAACAAGTCATTAAAACTCGCCAAACGCATTCTAAAAATTAGTCTAAACTAAACCTCCGTACCCCGCAACACTTACAACACGATAAAATTATGACTGGCTGAGAAAAAAAGGGGAAAAAGCAAGTTGGCTATTATTATTTTTCCCCTTCCATGTTTTTCAGAAATTTGAGACAGCTGCAGAAAATAGAGTTTCTGAGGCACTTTCAAATAAAAGTATGCACAATCAGCGTTATGTCAATCTAATTGTGAGATAATAATTATTAAGAAGAGGACGAATAAAATATGAATAAAAGAAAACCTCATGGCAGAAAGAAAGCATGTATCAAATATTGAGAGAGTGGGTGCCAGAGGATAGCAGAGATATTTCAGTGGATAAAAAACGTCATGTTGTGTCACAAAAATTGAGGAAACGGAAGGCGAGTCTCCTTACTTGCTGCTTAACTTATGTAGATGCTTAATCATTTTCTATGAAGAGAAATTGGACCGCCTCATGCAGAAAGGAACCAAGCCACATCGGCTATTGCCGAACTTAATTAGGTAATCCACTTTTTTAAATGGAAACGGTTGTGCGGATTTTTATGCAAATTTCGGTAAATTTTCTGCATGGTACGAAGCAAATTCCTCAAAATTTTCGAATGAAATCCGCACAAACGTTCTTTTGTAAAAGAGTAAATTGCCAGGTTAAATTTGGCGATAGCTGATGTGGCTTGGTTCCTTCCTACTGGACGCGGTCCAATTCTTCTTAGAACTGCAGATTTGTTTATGTTCACAGAATTTGAATAACGTCCTCACTCTTACAGAAATAAGTAAGTAACAATGTTGACCTGTTTCAATGTGACTTCCTATCCTGGAAAAATGTTTTTTTTTTTTTTTTTCCATCCTCATAAGATAAATTGAAAGCAACGTGATGAAATAATAGCGTAAGAGAAGGATAAAGTGCATTGAAGGAGGTAATGCTCGAATTGAATTAGACTAAGCCACCCTGACATAGAAATAAGAAAAGGATTAAAAGATCTGAAGTGATACTTTGATTTTAGAACCTGACCAAACCTCTCAAAAAAGCAGAATTTCAGAAAAAAACGTAATCCCTTTTAGTTAAGGAAATCTTCCATTGAAAACTGTTTTATTCAAACAGAAGATGAAATAAAAACGATTAATGGAACTCCACAACATGAATGAAGAAACAAAAGAAGGATGGCAAATCTTGAAGAAAACTTTGGTTTTAAATTTCCCTTCTCATAATCAAAGATAACCTGAGTATTGGTGCCTCACTATTAGAACATTAACTGACACCACAGTCATACAGATGAAAATTCACACTAAATTATGATTTTTGTTCCGCGGACTCTTAAGAAGTTTGACACTTGCTTCGGAGCTTTCAAGTCAAAAACAAAATGTGTTCAGCAAAAACTTTGTAAATATGCACATGGTGCAAAATTATCGGAGTAATTTCTCGTTTACTTTAGTTCTGTGTCTCATAGATGCGGACAAAATTTTCTCAGGACTGTTCGTTTAGGTAAATAAAATTCGACTTTGTTACTTAATAGAAAAAGGAACAAAAATGTACATGTATTTACGTTTCCTAAGCTTCTTTAACATGTACATATCGTGAAATCGGATTTACTGTCAATTTTGAAAAAAAAAATTGGTTGTTACTAGTGTACATAGGTACTTTGCCATTTCGTAAATAAGGGACAATTATCATTAAATAATTCTGAATACTTCACAGGAGTGGACGTGTTTCCGTCAAACGGAACTATGTGCATAATGACGTGAGCCCTGTTATGCATGTATTCTTATGGGTCTCAGGGTTCATGTCTCAATGCACATAGTTCCGTTCGCTAGAAATACGTCCAAAGAATCGAGGAGCTGTGGAGACGGACTCATAAAAAACTACCAAGACTGAGCGCAGTACCAGTGGCGTGGCGTGCTTTGCGATATATCGATTAATCTACCATTTAAACCTGTGGAAAAGGATCGATAAACAGGGTGTTCTCAACGGAGACCTTAATAAGCGATTCTTTACCATAGCTTCAAATGGGGAAATATCGATAATCGACCATTCACGCCTCGCCACTGAGTAGAACCATCATGAATAATCATGAAAAAGTTTTTGAGAATGGCTCTTTCCTTTTAAGAATGGGAGAATTGATAATTGAATGAACTCATTCATTTTGTTCTCAAGCGTCATCTCGGTTAGGACAGGTATTATAATTCAAGTTTTTTTACTATTTTAAGTCAGACTGACTTGATGTTATGAATTCATTTTGAAATGCAGTGTAGCGTTAACAAATATGTGCACATTCTTTTCTGTGATTAGTTATAATCTCTACAAATATTCCAAAAAAACAAAACTTGACAAATTATGAAATTTCTGAGTGCTGTCATCTCAGATTGCTAAAATGGTGGATTTACTAGTTTTCGCTCTTGAGCTATCATCAGTTGCGATTTTGCAAACTGGCAGCCCTGGTTTCCCTTAATTTAAATCCATTAAAAATATCGATTTTAGATGAGGCAATGCCTCATCAAGATTCGATTGTTTTACATATATTTAAATGGAAGAAAAATGGTGCTGCCAACATTCAAGAATCGCCACTGGCTATCATCATTCAAGAAAAATAGGAAAGTCCCTCTCAAAGGTGCCAAAAGTTTCCTTGCTAAAAATTTGTCGGAGTCAAAAAAAGCTTTTGAAACTACCGACAATCCTCATCATAAATCAATTCAATTTTTATAAGAGTTATTACTTGCAGCCGCTAATGAAAACTTCTTAGTATGACTCAGATTTTGTAAAATTACTTTTATAAAATTAAAGAATCAGCTTTGAAAATGTAGAATGATTACAGTGGCAACTTCACAATTGACTTGCGATCCACTAATGGAATTATTATCCTGAGTACCGATGTTTTGCATTTTTTACAAAATGTTTAGAAAGTGGTAGGATATTAAAAACAAAAAAAAAACTCGTACATAACTGTACGCACATAATTACGAGAATGATGAATAAAATAAATTAATTCAATACTAGATGGTAAACTTTCAGTGTGTGAGCGAATATTTGCATGATATAAGAAACTTTCAAGGCAGATTTTGAGGGCTGATGCTGTGAATTCTTCAGACATTTGACATGTTTCAAATTTCCGAGAAAAATAATGCTACTGAAGAATGAATAGATAGATCACTATATGTCACTATACTATAATTCTGCAACACTTGAGTAGGAGACCAAAGAATTTTATGATATTGAGATCAGCCAGAATTTGTACCCGACAGGAAATCAAATCCAGTATCTGATTCACTATCAGTGGCTTCAATTTTTTACCGCCATTTCGACAATGATTAAAACATATTTGCTTTTCATATTTCATTCAAACCTCGTTACTTTGGTGGTTATCTTGGCTCTTCACAGCAGTTTCTCTCTACAGTACACCTGGCAAAACTTTTTAGACCCATCAGCGATTCAATTAAAAAAGATCAAAATCATCTTAGAAAGAGAGAGTATGGAGTAATTTATTTTGTTACTGTATGTTTAAAATGCTTTTCTTTCAGTTTTTGCAGTAGAGAAGGGATTATTTAGGCTGATCTTGACATCATATTCCATTATCTGTTTTCATATTGTTGGAATGATTGTTCATACACTGAAAACTTCTTTTGTGGAGGCCTGGAGGTGCTATCATTCCTCACCAAATTTTCCGAGCAAAATACTTCTGATGTGATTGATTTATGTGGATGCATATTCATTAACCTCTCCTGCAGTCTCCTTTTAGGCCTTGCTGAGGAGGAACGCGACATGGACTACATTTTGCGATTAGGAACTATGAATTCTGACCCGGTTTAAAAACAACGTGTGCGCCATTAGTTTCCCTGTGCACAAAAGTGTTTTTTCAGATGAGGCAGAATTTATAGTTCCAAATTGCAAAATGCAGTCCATATGAACATTCGAATGTTGCCATACTTCCTACAGTAGAGTGACAATGTTTGAAGGAAGTTTCGAATATTTTTCCTTGAAATTTTCAGAAACTAAGCATTGAACTGCGATTAAGATGATCTGAGAAATTAGCGGGAAAATATCCGGAAGTTTCCTTGCGAGGATTTCTATTTATTATCGATTTATTCGACTTATTATTGGACAAACTTGGCAATGTCCGACTGTTCATGCGGCGTATTTCCCCGGCATGGCAGTGTTGGTCTCGTGATTTGACCGAGGAAGTATTTCATCAAATACAAATTTTGTTACCAAAGTATTTTTATGTAATGATAGAGAAACAATTTATTTATTATTTAGTTTTAGGTTAGATTTATTGAATATTTATTGATTGTAAATAAAAACTGTTCCGAAAATTTTCAATCTCGAATTCTGATTCAAATAATGCAATGGACCGCTGGAAAAAAGTACACAATCAGGCACCACTATTCATTTTCCGTCGACAAGTACCAGTGGCGTGGCATGCTTTGCGATAAACCGATTGTTATGCCATTTAGACCTATGGAAAAGGATCGATAATCAGGTTGTTCGCAGCGAACACATAGTAATCAATTCTTTACCATATGTTTAAATGGCAGAACAATTGACATATCGCAGAGCCCGCCACGCCACTGACATGTGCGCAGAATACGATAGATGCACTGAATCTTCCTAAATTCAACTCAAAAGTGAGAAAATAGCGCATTCAAGGTTACCAGACTGTCTAATAAAATGTGAATATCTTACATGGATTTAATGGGAGAACATTTACTGATTTTTGGCACCATCTGACAACGTTGAGCGTATTTAATGTATGTTCATTCACGTTTCCTCCCAGCAAAAAGATTAGAGTCTCCTCAAATCAAATCGAGCCCTAAATTAACTTCTGCTTACGTGCCTACGCGGAAAAATTATCCAATGTTTATTTTTCTTCTTCTTCTTCTTACTTATTATTACTTATTAATTATATTATTTTTATTAAAGAAAGATTAGAGGTGACTTACATCACAAGAGGGAGGAAATGTGTGTGAAACCATGCTCCAGTTACTTGCCTTACTTACAGGCTGTCTTTAATGGCTACCTTAACCTACTTCGAATATGGTTTTTGACGGGCAGGAAGTTTGAATTCGAATTTTAAAATGAAAACCATTAACGTCAGTTATTCACTAAAGGCATAATTTCAGAAGTTCATAAGTTCAGCTAATAGTGCGTGTTTCAATGAGAAAGCATGCCTTTTGGATGTTTAATTCTTTACCTGTCTAGTGGTTAATTCGTCCTTTACCCGTCTTAAACCTAGGGTCTATTCACTAGTAAGTTAATTAATGTATAACTGCCAACAGAATTACCCAATCAGACCGGCCTAAGGACAAACATTCAAACAAATGAACATTCACGAGTTGCCCGAATACTTTAAATAAAATGTTCATTTTGGAGGAAATTATACATATTTTTCCTTCGACGAAAGATATTTTAGATTAAATTGCGAACGAAATGGTCGGAAAAATCTGAAGAAAAATTTTCACAATTATTTATCGAAAGAAATATG